ACTATTTATAACGTAAAGTCCTTATAAGACACCGAACATGCGATAGCGGTTTGACAGTTCTCTGTCATAACATTCATAAAATAGAGGCAAATATGTATTTTCAGTCATCGTGCGAAAATTTTTTTAAAAAAGAAAATCCTTGTAAATCATTATTTAAAAGGTGTTAAAAATTTGAAAAGTAATTGATTTAAGAAAATTAAAGAGTGTAGAATTCAAAAATATCAAGCATTTCGTGATCACTGCGGTTTATTGTAAAATTTGTTCCAAAGTTCGAAAGGACCCGTGTCCAAATCGAACAGTATAGTGAATAACTTATAGGCCTGGTTGTAGTACTGGTGATTGGCTGACCAGATCTGATCCAAGCAATGAAATCAGTAAAATATCATGAGTCATCAGACTCAGATTAGTTGAGTTTTATTGATTTCAATTCTAATAATATAAATAGTCAGTAATTCCTTTTTTCCGAAAAAATTTTTATCTTTGACTGTCAAATTGCTTGTTTTTACTCAATACTAAGAGAAATACATTAAAATATTTTAAAATTTTATCTAAAAATCCATAAAAATAAGTTTTCGATCTGAACCAGGGTCTGGTCCAATTTGGAACCGATGGTTCCCCTATATATTAAATCCTATGTATAACTGTCCGGGCATAGGTACCTGTTTATTCATTAGTTTACTGTACAGCACATGTTTAAATTTTGTATAACAGTGACGTTTATGTTTTGTTTAAATAAATAATTTCTTACCTAGAAATCCTTAATTATCTTCGCTAATCAATACGTGCAAGTATCACTACATTCAAAGTTCTATATTCAATTAAAACTTTTATTTTGTATTACTTCATTGCCATGGTATATATTACAGTAAAGTAGGATATTGCTGTAGTTATAAGCTAAAAAAATATTTTAATCTTCATATTTCAATCGTTAAATGTTGATTGTTACAATGTTATGTAACATTGTTATTTTAAATATTCATTAAATAAATAAGTACACTTTTCAAGAGAAAAAAGATAAGACAATTTTTTTCCAAGAGACAATTAGTTTACTGCACTGAAAATCGCATTTGGTAGAATCAACTAATTTTCAGTTTGAAATTGGCTAAAAGATCTTTGACTGATGCAATAAAATAATTTAGTTGAAGCTAATTCGGTTATTGTAACATTTTATTTGTCAGAACGGTAATTATGCAGAATAGGACCTTTTAGAATTTTGACATTTTTCGGCTGTAATGTTGATAATAATCTTGTTGATAGGATCCCGTTTGTCTACAAAACGACTGCCTACAGCTTCATTTGCACACAGCAATATTGAACACAGCATATTGCACACACGACAATATTGCACACAGCGTATTGTACACACGATAATATTGCACACAGCACATTGCACACACCACGCCATTGGCCAGCTGCACTTGTATCAAGTGTACGATGTAAACTAGGCCAATA